ATCAATATTTATTGAATAAGTGATTGACTAATGTCTTTTTCCTATCTGACAGCAAGTGGAGGGGATCAAACGCCACGTTGTCTTTTCATTTCAGAATCGTGCATATTCGTGTGTGTAAAGATGTATTTTATTTGTTTGAAAGGCACGGTGACATGGGAGAGGGGGACAGATCTTCCCAAATGGTAGCCACCAGCTTGGGCTGGGTGAAGTCCTCCATTCTGATCTCCACCATGGGTGACAGGGGCTCCAATAGTTCAGTCATCTTCAGCTGCCATGCCAAGCTCACCAGTAGGGAGCTGGAGCAGAAGTGGAGAAGCTGACACCAACTTTACCCACCATGCCATAACATAGGCACCCTTAAAAAGAGAGAGATTCCCTAATTGTCCTTTTTTTCTATTGAGCCAGGCACTAAATACTACATCTACCAGGAAAAATTAACTCTTCGCGCCCCCATCTTACATTGAGCATTAAAATCTACCACTCCCAGGCAAAGGGGAAAGCCGGTTACACTACCGTTCTCTAACCCAGAATGCAAAGGTTTGCTTTTGTGTCACAATTTACTGAGTCAGGCACTGCTCAGGGCTCCAGAGAATGCCACCTAGAGTCCAACCCAGCAAAAGAGCTTCAGGAGAGGGTCCAGTGCAGTAGTCTAGTGTGCCAGGATCCCACACAGGTGCCAATTCATGTCCCAGAAGCCTCACTTCCCATCCAGCTCCCTGCCCCTGAGCTGGGAAAGCTGTAGAGGACAGCCCAAAGCCTTTGCACCCTGCACCCACATGGGAGACCTGGAGGAGGCTCCTGGCTTCAGATCAGCACAGCTCCGGCCATTGCAGCCACTTGAGAAGTGAACCAGCAGACAGAAGATCTTTCTGTCTCTGTATCTTCTTCTCTCTGTATATCTGCCTTTCCAATAAAATAAATAAATCTTCTTTTAATTGAATTTTTAAAAATTTTACTTCTTTTTATTATTATCATTTTATGATGCAGTTCCATAGGACCTGGGATTTCCCTTGTCCCCTCCTTAATTCCCTCCCTTTCACTGAGTTCCCCTACATCATCACCATAGTATAGTTCCTCAAAATAAATCTTAAAAAAAAAGAAAAAAGCTTGAGGAGGACAGAGGACAGTTTATCTTCCGTGACATTTGGATTGGGTCTCCATGAAGATGCAAAAAAAAAAAGAAATTAATCTACTGAATTGTATGGTTTTAAATTAATAATGAGAAAATGAGTTGTAACAATATTAACTACTAGTATTGAATTCCTAGCCCAGTGCTAGGAATTCTGTCAAACTCTTGATTGATGCTATTTAATCTTCACAACGATATGGGAAAGTGGGAATTGCTGTTTTCAATTTGCTGACGACGCTCAGAACTGGCACAGCATTCACCAATAAATAATGGAATCAAGATTTGATCTTATTTCTATGTAACTCCCAAACTATATTTGTGTCTGTATAAAATACTGCCGTCCCTAATTCCCCTTATTGACCTGAGTTCTGCTCCCCTATTTTCCCTAATTCTGTTTTCTGTAACCTCACTGACAAACCTAAATCCCTTTAGGTTATCACTTTACTAGTACTGAAATTCAGCCTACAGATTCCCTAAGGTCTTGATTTTTGGGGTGTAAAGTCACCGTTTTCTTAAATCATGTCATAGGTTAATAATTTCAAATCTAGTATATTCAGAATCTTTGAGTTATTATTGCTCTGGAATATTATGCCATTATTCTTTCCCCCCAAGATTGATTTATTTTTTTTAAGCTCAAAAATTAAATAAATCTTGGGGGAAAAAAAATAATGGCATAATATACTTTTGAGTCAACTAGTAGATGGAAGATCTCTAAATACTTAAAATAGGGATAGAGTGCTGTTTGTAAAGTTATATTGCATTCAAATTATTTAATATTATATATATTTTAAGAGGTTTATGTGTTGGGGCCCGTGTTGGGGCAGAGCCAGTTAATTTCCCAGTAATCCTGGCATTTATATGGGTGCTGCTTTGAGTCTTGATTGCTCTATTTTCTTTCTGTGCTTTTTTTTTTCTGATTAATTATTTTTTTTTTTTATTGGAAAGGCAGATTTACACAGGAGAGACAGAGAGAAACATCTTACTTCTGCTGGTTCACTCCCCAAATAGCAGCAATGGCTGGAGCTGAGCTGATCTGAAATTAGGAGTCAGGAGCTCTTCTAGGTCTCCATCGTGGGTACAGGCTCCCAGGGTTTTGGGCTGTCCTTGACTCTTCCCCAGGCCACAAGCAGGATGGGAAGTGGGGCCACTGGGACATGAACAGTGCACATATGGGATCCCAGTGGTTGCAAAGCGAGAACTTTAACCACTAGGCCGCTGCACCAGGCTCAGTTGCTCTGCTTTCAAACCAGCTCCCTGTGGGGGACCCAGACGGAGGCCCAGTCTCCTGGCTTCCACCTGGCCCACTGTGGCCATTGCAACAACTTGGAGAGAAAACCAACAGATGGAAGACCTATCTTTTTGTAAATCCGACTTTCAAATAAATAATTTTTACAAGTATTTTTTACTTATTATTTGACAAAGCCGCCGAAATAATTTTATAAAATTGAATTTTTTTAAGATTTGTTTTTATTAGAAAAGCAAATCTACACCGAGAAGTGTTAGAGTGCTAGTATAATGTTAGAATGTTAGGATGTTAGCGTTAGGCAATGTTAGGCCGGCTCGTGCCAAGAAGCTGCTGCTTTGCTAGGTCGGGATGCATCTGGACCATGGGGAAACTCTACTTTAGTGATAAATGTTGCTCCTCTGTGACCTTGTGGACAGTGTCACACGCCTTATCTATAGAATGCACCCAGGTGCAGGAGGACAATGGCACAATCATCCGGTCCCAGGAACAGCAATGTGTGTGGGAACGGAATGAGCTGTCTAGACCCAGGGGTCTTAAAGACAATGTGTCTGGAAACGAAGTGGACTGTTCGCACCTGGAAGCCCTAAAGATGACATGTCTGATTGTTGTGTTTGAATTTGCACGGGCTATGATGCATGTAACGACTAAAGGGGCCTATATAATCTCTAGGCTTTTGCTAGTCCAGGATCGGACCCCTCCTTCGCTGGCTTTTGTGCCCCAAGATCGGTCTGACCCCAGCATGCTGGCACAATAAAGTCTGCTTGCTTTTGCATTATCAGTAAGGCTCTTGGTCGTTCATGGGAAAATGACAAAACCGGACCCTAACAGAAGAAAGAGAAAGATATTCCAATTACTAGTTCACTCCCCAAATGGCTGGAAACTAAGCCAATCTGAAGCGAGAAGCCTCATCCACGTCTCCCACAAAGGTACAGGGTCCTAAGGCTTTGGGCTATTTTCTGCTGCTTTCCTTGGCCATCAGCAGGGAGCTGGATGGAAAGCAGAGCAGCTGGGACACAAACAAGCACCCAAATGGGATGCCAGCACTTGGAGGTGGAGGATTTAGCTGCTAAGCCATCTCACCAGCCTGAAAGAAAATGCATTCTTAACATATTTTCATGTGCTTTGTCATGAAATGGAAAGTACGCATAAAGTGTTCCCAGTGATAGTGGTTGTACAGTTGCTTGAGGTGAGTTGAAATGATTGTGCTCTTCAGAGAACACCCGTTTACTTGGAAAATTGACAGACTATGGCTTGCCAGTCTCGAGGATCTGAACTCAGTAAACCTGCCACTTCAAGGAAAATTGAAATATTACTGCAGATGCTAAAATGTGAGGTCTCAAGGAAAAAACAAAAAATGTTGTGGTACCCATATAACACCTTCACTGGGTCCCGAGATCTTCCTAAGATCAACGGAGATGGTGTATTTACGTATGTATATTTATTTGTAAGGCAGCATTGCAGAGTTGGCAGTGGCTGCCAGCTATACCACCCGCCTGGATCTTCCTCACCTAGCAAAAACAGCACAACTCGACAGAGAATGAGAAAGCGAGAAACTGCTGTCCTCTATGAAAGCCAGGTGAGATGGATTTGCAACATTTTAATACGACGTCATTCCACATTAACTTTCCTTTGCTTTGAAAAAAATATATATATACAATATTATTATATTAGCATGCAATGGTTTGTGATTAAGTGGGTACCTGGTTTGGAATTTCTGAATCTCAATTGGTAATTCAGGGACTCCCATATAAACAAAAGCTCCTGAGGGGAGCTTAATAACTTTTGTGCCTCTAAATAAAGGGATTTTAATAAATGCTGTTCTGAGCTATCTTTGCCTTAATCCCCAATTTACAGATGAAAAAGCTACCAAGGCCCCTGACGGTGGTCTTACAAAGATTTAACCAGGTGGGCAGGGGACTGCTGACTGGCCCTAAGGACTTTGCACTCCAAGTCTTGTATTTGTGACTATCTTTTCCTTGATTGTAGCTTCACTACCACTACCTTCACAAAGTTTAACACACTGCGATAAAGCCAACATGTCTTCCACACACCAGGCAGCTTTTTCTTGCCCCAGCGACTGCAAGATCTTTCTTTGGGGCTTGTTCGCGGGGTCCCGCGAGTGGCCGGATTCCCATTGGTTGGCTTCTGCTTTGTCAATTACTCGGAGGCGTTTCGTTGTAGATCCCAACTCCGGAGCTGGGGAGCTGGAACCTAAAGGGGTCTCCAGGGGGGCTCTCTGGGGTATTCAGCGATGCCCTAGTCTCCCAAACAACCATGCTTCAGACAGGTAACCTGCTCCAGAAGCAGGAACAGCGTCGCCCTACTTCTCTCCGGGGACCCCGGGACCCCCAGGCCGACCCTGCCTGACAGACGCCCCCTGGCCGCTGACTGGCTGAACCCACAGACGGTGGGAGGAACGCGGTCCGGCATTGGATGTCAGAGTGTGTTCACCGCCCCTCACTTCGCCCTCTTGTCCACTTTTCCCACTCCCCGAAACTAAGTCCCGCGGTGGGAGCGGGAGGCCCCTCCGGACGGGGCGGGAGCAGCCCTTCCTCGTGTGTGGGAGCGGCCATTGCCGCGGGGAGCCGGGCCCGGCTCGGCGTGCGGGAGCCGCGTCCCGTCGTGCACCGGGGTGCCGGCGACTCACCCGGAAGGAGAAGCCGGGAAGCTGGCTGTGTGCTGAGGTGCACGGGCGGTGTCGCCGTGGGGAGCCGCCGGCGCCGCTGTTGCTCTCAGGTAAGGGGTGAGGGCTGCTCCCCGGTGAGGGGTGAGGGGTGCTCTCAGTGAGGGGCGAGGGGTGCTCCCTGGTGAGGGGCGCGGGCTTGGGTGGCCAGAGCAGCACCTGGCAGGTGGGCAGTGCTTGACGTCCCACCCCCGAGGCTGGAGGCGAGGGCTTGCTTGGGCATTTAGGATAGCAAACTTAATCCGGGAAGGAGAATCAAGGCCAATCAAGGCGTTAGGAGGGGGCGTGGCCGTCGTAAAGAATTTGGGGGCGTCTTCAAGCCACTGGCGGGTGGTGGCAGGTGTTTAACCTGGACACCGCAAGTTGGGGGATCAGGTTACTTATGAACTAAAGGATGGACCAGAGCCACCTGCTTGGTCAGGGGCGAGGAGCTTAGCAGTTGTGGGTATATGGGAGGAGAGGTTTTTGAGGTGCCATCTGTTCTGGTACCGAAGACCCAAGCATGAATAAGAAAGCGCTAGAGTCTCATGGCTCAGCCTGCTATCTAACTTGCTTCTTAACCTGTGTTGTTGAAGTGGGAGAGAAAATGGTGAGCCGGGAAGCTGCTGGATGTTCGCACACTTGAGAGCAAGTGTCCCTTTGTCAACAGCTGACACCGAGGGTTTCCCCAGCGGTGGGTGCTGGTGCAGATGCAGAAGGGACGGGAAGGGAGCTTCCGGTGTGATTGGAGGGGCCCAGGAAATGCAGGGCTCGTGTGGACCCACCCCTGGGCATCACGCACAAGCTCCTCGGGTTTGTGTGACCCCTCCCCTCCTAGCTTCTACAGCCAAAGTTAGGAACTTCCCACTTCTGCAAAAGCAGAAGCAAGCTTCAGTGGGAGTCACGTTTCTTTGTGGGAAGGAAGCTCGTGGGGAACGGGGGTGGTGAGACATTACTGTTTGAAATCTGAGTTTTGAAGGAAAGCTACAACAAACTTTTTAAGTAAAGATTTTATTTATTATTTTTATTGCAAAATCAGATATACAGAGAGGAGGAGAGACAGAGAGGAAGATCTTCCGTACGATGATTCACTCCCCAAGTGACCTCAATGGCAGATGCTGCACCGACCCAGAGCCAGGAACCAGGAACCTCCTCCAGGTCTCCCACGCGGGTGCAGGGTCCCAAGGCTTTGGGCCGTCCTTGACTGCTTTCCCAGGCCACCAACAGGGAGCTGGATGGGAAGCGGAGCTGCCAGGATAAGAACCGGCACTCATATGGGATCCCGGTGCTTTCAAGGCGAGGACTTTAACCACTAGGCCACCGCACTGGCCCCACAAAATACTTTTTAAAGTGCCTATTAACCTTAGATTTGAGGGTAAGGCATTGTTAGGATCCTGGGACTTTTTTTTTTCTCTCTGTCTCTTTAAGCCAGTTTATAGCTGCCTGTGCTGTTGGTCCCAAAGGAAAAGAAGTCTTAGGTCATTCCACATGAAGTCAAAGTTAGGATGACTCTGTGGTCATGATCCTGAATTTGGCAAATCATTCATGGCTAGGGCGTGTGTGTGTAGAGGGCTGTGATCTTGCCATCCCCTTTCCTGCTGTTATTTTTGTGAGAACACACTTTAGAATCATTGGCTCCACTGTGCTGGCAGTTTACCAGATGCCCTGAAATGAGAAGAGAGAGAGAGAAAAAAAAAACCCCAAAATTTAAAAGCGATTTTGAAAATAAGGTTAATCGCTAACAGCAGGTCAGTCTGCTCTTCTTGGTCACAGCCATTTGACTCGTCACATCTGGAATGTTCTTCCTGGGTTGTTGTGTACTTGGAATTTCCTACCTTTCTGTACAGAAGCCCTTGGAGGTGGTAGCTGCATGAGATGCAAAGTCAGGCTGTCAGCAAATGCTGTTAGGGCTGGCACTGGCAGCCCCAAACCCTGGGCTTGCTCCACAGTGTAGCCCAGTTCTGTCAACTGCCATGCAGCTGTCTCCGCGTGCCACGTTTGTCTGTAGAGAGACCTTCTGGTATATTGGGAAGAATCAGAAAGCTGTTGGCTCTGCTAATTTTGTGGTGCAAATGAGCTTCCCTTGTTTTGAGATGCTAGCCTTGTATTAGTGAAACATAAACTAGAGGAAACTCATTATACAACCCTTCTAATGTTAACACAGAACTAATAAGAGAATGTGTTTGCAATTAATTGTGGGACTGTAAAAACGAGTGGGTGTGTGAACGGGCACGGGGCGGCAGGGAGAGGGAGAGCTTAGAGATGGTCTTGTTTTCCCAGGAGCCTGCCCGGATCATTTGTTGGCAGTACATATTGGCTGAAGTCAGTTTTCATTTCAAGGTAAATTGGAAAGGGAAATTAAACCTTATTGTTCCGCTCTTAAGAGAGGGGAAGGGGGTGGATGCTGCTGGAGTGGGTCTAGGAGTAACAAGATTAGTGCTGTATTTTAACAGAAGGTGACATCATGGGCCCCTTTGGACTCGAGTCACCCCGTGCTGCAACCTTCATGGTCCCCCTGTCGGGGTGGGCGATGTTTCTCTCCGTGTAAACTGCCGCCCTGGGGGGAAATCGGGAGCGTGGGCTTTAATGAATCTTTACAAAGGAGGGAAACGCATCCCAATTTGACCTGTGCAGCTGTGGGGTGCTTGGGCTGCTCCTCACACTCTTGGGCGTGTTGGGGAGGAAGTGATTACAGCTATGGGCTCGGCTTGCTGAGCACGGATTCCACAAGGCATGGTCACGACCGAGACACCCACGCAGTGGCTGGCTGCAGCACCTGTGGGGAGAGGTAGGCTGGAAGGAGGAAGACGAGAGATGCAGGAGTGTGTGTGGGGACTGGGTTGTCTGTAAACAACCGGGAGGGGGCACTGTGAGCTCCCTTTGCAAGCTGCCTTCCTAGCGCCCACAGACAGGGCCGTGCCCACAGCCAGGAAGGCAAAACTTTTGCGACTGGACCTGCCTCTGGCCACCCGAGACAAATTCTCTGCATACCCCAACGTGCTTCGCCTGGGGTCAACCAAGTGAAGAGTCCTGACTGGTGCCAGGAAGAAGGCAATCCCCTGGGGTTTGGGCTTTGGCACTTGAGCTAATGTGGGGGGATTTTTTTTTTGGTTTGTTTCCTCTTTAGAGTTCACAAGAACCAAAAAAACTTTCTCTGGGTTTCCCCAGGAGGTCACTTATGAAAACCTTTCAGGGTTTTGGCCTGGCCCCGAGGGCTAAGAATAGAGGCGTGCCAACCATGCTTGTTCCCATGTCCTCTGTCCCTCATCAGATGTGTTCTTCCAGCGGGCTTTTGGTGTAGGATGTCGGAGGCCCAAGAGCAGGAGGTAAGAGTGGTCTCCAGGAGCGGGGGGAGGGGGGAACGGCAGACGCTGGGGAAGGGCGTGAGAAGGCGGGAGGCCACGGAGATGACAGTCGCTCAGTGGTGTTCTTCCCACAGTTGTCCCCTAGTGGTTCTGGTGAGTTCGGGATGAAGCCAGGAGAAGGGGTGTGAGCAGACGTGTTGCTGGGTAGATGGGACACCCTGACATCCTGCTGGTGTGAATGTGCTGGAATGTAGAGCATGGGTCTTCAACTCTTTTTTTTTTTTTTTAAGACTTATTTTATTTTTATTGGAAAGTCAGGTATACAGAGAGGAAGAGAGAGAGGAAGATCTTCCATCCAATGACTCATTGCCCAGGTGGTCACAACAGCCAGAGCTGAGCTGATCCAAAGCCAGGAGCCTGGAACTTCTTTCTGGGTCTCCCATGCGGGTGCAGGGTCCCAAGGCCCCAGGCCGTCCCAACTGCTTTCCCAGGTCACAAACAGGGAGCTTGAAGGGAAGCGGGGCCACCGGGATTAGAACCAGCACCCATACGGGATCCTGGTGTGTGCAAGGCAAGGACTTTAGCAGCTTGACTACCGTGCTGGGCCTGTGGGTCTTTAACTCTTCTGCTCTATAACCAGTGCCTGGGTCAGTGGCTGACACATACTGGGTGTGTGATAGGTATCCGTGGAGTGGAATGAATGCAGGGCGGCACTGAGTGGACCGGCCTGCCAGCCAGTATCACTGCTATTCAAGGCAGCAGAGCTCAAGTGGCCTTTCTTACCCCCCAGGAGGTGATCACAGTACGGGTTCAGGACCCCCGGGTGCAGAATGAGGGCTCCTGGAATTCCTACGTGGATTATAAGATATTCCTTCATGTGAGTGCATCAAGCTTCTGTGTTGGTCTACAGTCTGCAGGGCTGAGGGTTTGCGCTGAAGCGGAGCCTGGTGAGATGGAGACAGAAGACTTAGAAGAAGAGCGAAGGGAGGAGAGAGAGCTAGCGTTGTGCCTGGGCGCTGCTTGGGGCCTCTCTGCTCGGGACCTTGGCCTGATGCCTTAGCTCAGTGGGAGCGCTGATGGGGGAGACATGTACACTTGGCCTTTTCCTGCTGATCCCGTTTTGTGTACTTCTCACAGACCAACAGCAAGGCCTTTACTGCCAAGACTTCGTGCGTGCGGCGTCGCTACCGTGAGTTTGTGTGGCTGAGAAAGCAGCTACAGAAGAACGCTGGCTTGGTGTAAGTTCTGTCTTCTCAGCTCTGCGACTTGGTAGGGGCTGGGCCGGGCTGAAGCCAGGAAGCAGGCCCATCTGGGTCTCTGCAGTGGGTGGCAGGGGCCTGAGCACTCAGGTGCGTTAGCAGGGAGTCAGATCGGAAGTGAAGCAGCCAGGACTTGAATTGATGTTCATATGGGGTGTCAACGTTGCACCTTAACCCACTGGTTTTCAGTGTGTCAGCCCTGGGAAATGCATTTTTTTAAATATATATTTATTTCTTTGTATTAGAAGGGCAGATTTACAGAGAGAAGGAGAGACAAAGATCTTCCATCTACTGGTTCACTCCACAAGTGGCTGCAACACCTGGAGCTGAGCAGATCTGAAGCCAGGAGCTTCTTCTAGGTCTCCCACACAGGTGTAGGGTCCCAAGGCTTTGGGCCATCTTAGACTGATTTCCTAGGGCACAAGCAGGGAGCTGGATGGGAAGTGGAGCAACTGGGATGCAAATTGGCATTCATGGGATCCCAGCACTTACAATACGAGGACTTTAGCTGCTAGGCCTGTTAGGGTTCTTTTGAAGGGTGGGGGGACAGGCCATTGTTGTGGCAAAGTGAGTGAAGTCCCCATCTGTGATGCCAGCATCTCCTCCGAGTGTTGGCTCATGTGCTGGCTGCTCTACTTCTGATCCAGCTTCATAGTGGCCTGGGAGGAGTGGCAGGAGGAGGCCCAAGTGTTTGTTCCCCGACCACCCACATGGGAGACTTGGAAGAAACTCCTGGCCTTGCCCTGGCCCAGCCGTGGCCATTGCAAACATCCGGAAAGCGAACCAGTGAATGAAAGCTCTCTCTCGGTGTCACTCCCTCTCTCTTTCAAGTAAATGAGTAAATAAATAAATAAATAAAAAGGAAAACAGGGAAATAGAGATTTTTTTTTTTAAAAAAAGAGAGATTTATTTTAGTGGAAAGGCAGATCAGATTTTATGGAGAGAAGGAGATATACAGAGAAAGATCTTCCATCCAACGGTTCACTCCCCAAATGGCCAAAACTGCTGGAGCTGAGCTGATTTGAAGCCAGGAGCCAGACGCTTCTTCCAGGTCTCCCAAGCAGATGCAAGGTCCCAAGCCCTGGGCTATCCTTAATGGCTTTCCCAGGCCACAAGCAGAGAGCAACTGGGACATGAGCCGACACTCAAATGAAATCTCAGTGCTTACAAGGTGAGGATTTAGCCATTGAGCCATCGCGTCTGGCCCTATTTTTTTGTTTTTAGTATGTGTCTTAGCCTAGGGCTTAACAGATGGACAGCTAGCAGTTTCAATGTCCGTATCACTGGATCTAAGAAAACTTTAAGCACTTGGCAGGTTAATGTTCCTGCCCATCTGACATGTGAAAATTGTGATTTGTTTTGTTCTCTTTAGTACCTAGCTGTTTTTCCAGAACTTTCCTGGAGCCTTAATGCAGTTACTCATTCCTCATTCATACTCTCAGGGGAGTCCTGCAAGTGATGAGATGGAAGCAGTGACTCCACTGAAGGACGGTCACCGAAGGCTTGGTGGTGATGGAAGCCTGGAGGAGTGACCTAGCTAGTTAGGTCACATGTGGGACTGATGAACTGTATAGCTCTGGGCCACGGCCTCATAAGCTGGTTAAAATCTTTCATTTCCCCTGAGAGATCTCTCATTTTTCAGCCTGACCTGCTTTTTAAAATGTTACACTATAGTTTTGAAGAAAGGTCAGCGGAGGAGTTAGGTGCTGTGGCACAGAGGGTTAAGCAACTACTTGGACTGCCTGCATCCCATTTCAGAGTCCCTGGGATCAGATCCCACCTCCGCTTCAGACCCAGCTTCCTATTCATGCTTCTGGGCAGGCATCAGGGGCTAGCCCAAGCACAAGGGGCCTGCCACCCCCGTGGGAGACCCAGATGGAGTTCCTTGCTTCAGGCTAGCCCAGCTCTGGGGAATGCTGAACCAGTGGATGGCAGGTCTCCCCCTGTGTGTGAATGTAAATAGTTTTAAAGAAAGGGAGCTTTCCGATTGGTGGATGACTTGCAGCAGCTCTCCCCTTGTCCGTGTGGGAGCTCCGGGGGCTGAAGCGGATAGTTGTAGCCGACAGAGGGCTAGCATTCTCCATGTTGAGTTCTTCCTGTTTTAAAGTGGTGTTGTAGACAGCATAGTATGACATCATGGGTTTTGATTCACATACAACTTATCCTTATTAGCTGCATGACAATGGCACGTTTTGACTTAACCTCTCTGAACTTCTAAAGTGGGAACAATGTTTTTCTCACAAGGTTTTAGGTAGGAATAAACAGTGTTTTGGAAACATTTAGCCCAGGACCTGACACATGGCATGCAGCCAGCCAGTGCTGGGCCTCTTCTGTTTTATCAAAACATGGTGGGATTGATGGGCCTCTTGCTGGGGACTGGAGTAACTGCCTGGGGGCTCCACTTAGCCAGGCTCTCACCTGTGACTCCACAGGCCTGTGCCTGAACTTCCTGGGAAGTCGACCTTCTTCGGCAGCTCCGATGAGTTTATTGAGAAACGACGACAAGGTCTTCAGCACTTCCTTGAAAAGTGAGTGGACCTGCCAGACGGGCCCCGGCTGCCAGGGGTGGGGCTGCTCTGGGCCCACGGTGGGAGGTGCCTTCCTGGCATGCTCGGGCCTCCGCACGCACAGGCCAGGAGCCCTTGGGAGGGTGGGCAGGGCTTGGGAGGGTCACCCTCAGGCGATGCTGCATGTTGTGCTCTCCGTGTCCACGCCAGGGTCCTGCAGAGCGTGGTCCTCCTGTCAGACAGTCAGTTGCACCTCTTCCTGCAAAGCCAGCTCTCAGTGCCCGAGATAGAAGCCTGTGTCCAAGGCCGCAGCCCCGTGACTGTTTCAGACGCCATTTTGCGCTATGCGATGTCCAACTGTGGCTGGGCCCAAGAAGAGCGGCAGAGCTCGTCTCCCCTGGCAACAGGGGACCAGCCCAAGAGGTAACTGAAGCACCCCTGAGATACCTGAGCCAGGGTGATTATAACCTGTAACCGCTGCTGCGGGATAGCCACTTGGGCTCGGGGGAAGTACTGCGCAGCAGCTGGAGCCTTTCCCGAGGTAGGCCTGTGTTAACCCAGCACCGGGCAGCAGGAGCTCCTGTTGAAAGCCGGCAGGGAGGAAAGGTGGTCTCCTGTGTCCTGTTCTTTGCCCCCTCCTTAAAAAATGATGCCTTTGATGACATCAACTTCATACACCATACAGCTTCTTTAGCGAACAAGTCGGCAGTTTTGAGGCATATTCATGGAGGTGTGCAGCTGTCACCCTCCACGGTCAACTTTAAAGGCTTGTTCCTAAGGGGTGACTCCTCTTTCCCTCCCCAAAATCCCAGCCCTTGGCAGGCTCCAGGGTCTTACGTGTCTGTGGATTTGCCAGGTTCTAGAAAATTCACACCAATAGTCATTCAATGTGTGGTATTTTTTTGTTTGTTTTGTTTTAAAGATTTATTTATTTTTAGTGGAAAGTCTGATATACAGAGAGGAGGAGAGACAGAGAGGAAGATCTTCACCTGCTGATTCACTCCCAAGTGGTTGCTGCAATGAATGGCTGCACCTGAATCGATTTGAAGCCAGGAGCCAGAAGCTTCTTCTGGGTCTCCCATGTGGCTGCAGGGTCCCGAGGCCCCGGGCCACAAGCAGGGAGCTGGAAGGGAAGCTGGGTTGCTGGGATTAGAACCAGCACCCAGATAGGATCCCAGTGTGTGCAAGGCGAGGACTTTAGCTACTAGGCTACTGCGCGGAGCCCAGTCTTTTGTAACTGGCTCCTTTTGCTTAGCGTGTTTCCAGAGGGGTTATCTGGGAAGTGATGTGTGCCAGCCATTCCTTCCCCCTTGGAACAGCAGTGTCTCATTTCAGCGGTTACAGCGCCCTGCCACCTTTTGTTGACCTGGCCATGCCCTCCCATCTCCTTGCCCACCCATTTCCAGCTGCTGCTTTCTGACGAGATCCAGCAGGAGGAGGAGCTCTCCCTCGCCTCCTCCCAGTGAGGAAAAGGACCACGGCGGAGTGTGGACTCCTGGTGTGGACTCCGAGGGCCCTTCCTTGGAATGTCCCAGCATCCCCGCCCTGTCCGCATCGCCACACTGTGATTCTGCAAGAGCTGCCGACGGGAGCACCATTCCTGCAGGAGGGGACCACGCTGTGCCTTTGGACCCTGGTCAGTTAGAAGCACTTTGGGAAAAGTGAGCTATGAGCTCTGGCCTGGGCCCTGTTTTAAGGTGCTGAAGATGCAGGCCAGGGGATTTGTTTGGTGGTATCAGGCACGGGGCAGGTAGGGGAGGAGGTGCCTAGTGGCTCGCAGCCACTTCTGCACAGGCTGGCTGCACAGGGGTGGGGGTGTGACCGCTCCCTGCACCTCTCCCAAAGGAATCTTACTGTGAAGATGTTTGCAAGTGAAGCACAAGGCCCGGAGGCTGTTGGTTTTCAACAGAGCCCACACTGACCCTCCTGGGGTTGGTTTCTATGCCCACCACCCCAGGTAACTGGTGGCAGGGCCCTGGAAGAGAGGCAGATCCTGATGCCATCCAGGAGTGCTCCCTTCTGGCCTCCCATCCTGGCCACCTGCCGTTTCCCTGAAGCCCCAGAGCACTTGGCTTCCGGGAGGCTGGCCTCACGTCTACCTCCTTGCAGGGCCAGCGGACACCACATGGTGAACATTTACCCTTCCGCCTACTTGCTGCACCTGCAGTGACACCACCGGCTGGAACTGGTGCCGTGACTGCGCTGCCTGGGGCTTCGAGCACCGGGACCCTGGCCTGGCCAAGTAGGGAGAGAGGTGATTTGCCATGGCTAGAAGGAAAGCAAACAGCCGGCAGGCTTGGGTTTGCAAAAGGCTGGCCTGGACTGTCCCGTGTCTCAGGTTTAAGCCGAGCCCTGGCGATCTTTCCTGCTGGTGAGAGTGGGTTGCTTTCTTTCTCGGTCTTTTTTCCTCACCCCAGGGCTTCCGCTGGCACAGGCGTCCTCTGGGGAGGCTGTGTGCTGGGTCCTGTGGGGAGGGAGGGCTTTGTGTCTGCCTAGAAGAGGGGGCTGTGTAGACAGGGCTGAGAAACTATGCGTACCTGCCTGCAGACGGCGAGGCGTCCTGCTACCTTGCCGCCATCCCTCCTCCACCGAGAGCCAGAGCTGCCAGGAGCCTCGGGCACCCTGCGTGGTGCTGGTCTCTGGTTGGGGAGCAAGCTGCTTTGCCCTCTTGCCCACTCCTGCCGCCCCTGGTCATCCCACCTTATCTGTGGACTCTTTTTCCTACCAGCCTGTGCTGTGAGATGTCAGGATATTTGGTTCAAGGTTGAGGAGCTTTGGCCTGAAATAAAATGCAAATATTAGAGACTGTTGTTGCAATTTGTGTCTAACAAGCTGTAGCTGAGGAGGAGGAGGAGGGAGTGAGGGCTGGTGGTGCTTACAGTCCATAAATCCTGAATTTATCAGTGTGGAAATAATGGTTGAGAACCGTGCACTGCGGCTCTCCTGCATCCTGTGTGCGGCTCCAGCCCGCCGCTGGAGTGGGGACTGCCTTCCAAAGATCCAGGCTCTGACTCCACGCACAGTTCTGGGCATGAACCTTGTTAGGTATAATTTACCTGATGCTGCTTCCATCCTCGCCGCCTGTCTGAGGTGCCAGGTGCTGAAAGAGAAATAAAGTTTGTCAACAGGCAGATGCGAAGCCCTGGCTGCTATCCATCCCCTTCCCGCCTGCCTCCCCTGGGTCCTTCCTTCATCCGAGGCAGCAGAGCAAGGCGAGGATGAAAACCTACAGAGGCAAATCCAAAATGTCAAAAGAAGTTCATTTAAAAGGGGGGAAAAAAAAAAAAACCTCCATACGCAACCCTCACAAAAACCCGACAGATGCTAAGCTAATGGCATTCGCTCTGCCGATTGGTGGGGATGGCTTATGAATATTAATGAGTCCAATACTCCAAATGGTGCAGCTGTGAACCCAGCTGTGCCTGAAGCTCTCTGATCTCGAAACTTCCAGACAGGAGCCGGAGGTGGTCTGTGTCAATTCCCTACTCAGCCAAAAAGCAGCAAGCTGGTTGGCCTTCTTCCGCTCGTGCCCGCTCTGCCTGGAGTTGGAGCTCAGCAGCTCGTTGTGCCAGCAGACTGGGCTGCTGGGACAGCAGGAGCCATTCAAAGACATGCGTGTGATTTTCTGACTCCCCGCTTTTTAAATGATCCATTAGCAGTGCATCCAACAGCACCTCGGTTAATCTAAGGCCAGGCACCAGCACCCTCTCGTTCTTGCTGAGCTGGGTAGAGGCGGTGGGAGACGCCAGCTAATGCTTTGGGCCTGGAGTCACCAGCAGAATAGCAAAGATGGTTTTTCCTTCTCACGCAGGCAGTGCCATATGCCCCTCCTAGGTTTTACTTGGTCTCTGTGTGTGCTGTGGTGTGGCTACTGTGGTCAGGGGGAGTGGCATGCTGAGATGCATTTTAATGTGGAAGCTTTATTTTTTTTCTTTAGGGTTTAGGTTTGAGGAAGGTTGTGGGTCTGATTCAGTTGCTTGCCTCCCGACCGCTGGCGGCTTTGGTTGAGTCTGGTCGGCTCCCGTTAGCTGGGATGAGTGGCCCCGAGCTCGTGGGCATTACTTTATTTGGTGGAAGGAAGTGAGTGAGTGTGTGTGGGGACAGGAGGCAGGGGGCAGTCATAAAAGCAGTAAGCTGCTTGTGCATCATGTTTTCTGTTTGGCCTTTGCAGGGCCCAGTGGGGAGGGGAGGGCGGGCAGGACTGCACTTGCTTTCCACTTGATCCTAGCCGAAAGGTTGAGAAGCGGTACACTCGCTTTCCAGTGGACAAAACCAAGATGTGATTTCCAAAAAGCATGGCCTAACATGGCAGTGCAGTTATACGCCAGGCGCTTGGAAGGCTCTGTGTGACAAGTTGATCTATTTCAAAAAACATTAAACCCACAGCCACCCTTAGGCGGGAAGGGAGCCCCGGCAGTTTCTGAAATGTTGGCCTCTGGCACGCACTCCCAGGTCTCAGTTCTCCACTAAGGCCTTTGCCTACCCCAAGGCCTGGGTTCTTGGGTGACTTTTCTTGGGAGGTGGTCAGGACTTGAACAGTCCAACTGGGCATTAAATTAGCACCATGCTTGTGACTTTGCCTCATGCTGAATATTTTTTTTTTCCATTTAATTAAAAACAAGCTTCATAGAGGGAGCTCCCATCTTCTGGGCCCTCCTCAGATGCCCATAACATCCTGGGCTGGTCCTAGCTAGAGCTGGGACCTGGGAACATAATCCATGTCTCCCGCATGGGTGGCAGAGGCCCATTGATTTGATCATCACAGCTGGCTCCCAGGTTCTGTGTTAGGAAGCTCAACCCAGAACTAAGAATTGAACCCAGACTTTCCTGGCATTGTGGCTCAGTGGGTTGAGCTGCTAGCAACACTAGCATCCCTTATTGGAGCACCAGTTTAAATCCTGGCTGCTCTGCTTCCAATCCAGCTCCCTACTAATGTGCCGGGAAGGCAGCAGAGGACAGCCCAAGACCTTGCTTAGGTCCCTGCCGCGTGTGTAATTGAACCACATGGAAATTTCAGGCTTCTGGCTTTGGCCTGAGCCCCAGCCTCTGAGGCCACTTGGAGAGTAAATCAGTGAATGAAAAGTTCTCTGTCATTCACTCTCTGATTTTTAATGAAAGCTGATTTAAAAAAAAAAAAAGTTTAAATTCCTGCTCCTGATTATTCGTCATGCCATGCAGGTAGAGCAACAGACAGCGGGCCTACAGGGTGGGAGGAGGGACTGGCGGGTTGGAATGGGAGATGGGCTGCTGCAGAGGCTCTGTGACAGCGGAGGCTGCGGAGACTGCGCGGCCTCCAGGGCTTACAGGGAGGCAAAGCCAAGCAGGTTGCACTGCAGGGTGCTGTAGGGTCACTGGAGAAAGAATCAGAGGGGCTTCCCTCTGCCAGCAGGGAGCCAGCTCTGCCCGAGGCACTGGCTCTAGGTGGCTTATGAACTGTGGAGGTGCGGCCCTCCTCTCTTCTAACCCATGCGTGCATCTTCCTTCTCAGCCGCTTCCCGCCTCCGCTCTTTGCTTAGCAAGTGGCTGGGAGGAGGCAGCGCTGGCATCCTGTTAGAGGGATGACCTATGGGGGCAGACAGTTGGTGGAGGCGGAAAGCTGGAGCCTTCCAGAACAAACACTGACAGCTCAGGCTCCGGAGAGCCACAGGGTCACACCTTTAGGAGGCAGAAAGCTGACTCAACGGAGCAGAGTGAATCTGCTTACTCCTTCCAGGGTTTAGGACACCTGACCAGTAGATCTGGTCGACTTCCACAATTAGAAGAGGGGGGGAAAAATGTGGGGTGCTTTCTTAGTGGGGTAAAGAGGAGAGAGTGGGTAAAGCCGGGGCTGGAGAGATAAGAGCAAGGCAAGGTCTAAGGCTTTCGCCTCTGGGAGGGCATCACACAGGGCATCCAAAGGAATGGGCGGGGGTGGCAAAGCCACCAGCCAACAGATCTCTCTGATGTGTGGCTGTCTGTCCCTCCTGTCGTTCAGACAAGCACTTGTTCTTTTCTGCGAGCCACTCTGGCTGCTCTGGCTCATTCAGCTCCAGCTCCGTGTGTGTCCCCACCACGCATGAAAGCGTGGGAATCCAGGCCCATCGGCAGGCAGGCCTCGCCCGGTCCCACTGGCAGGAGGCCTGGAGCAGTGAGAGCCCGAGGCAGTTGTTGGAGGCCTTGCAACCTGCCTGTTAGAAGCTACGAGACTTAGATATATTCTGCTAATTAGAGCACATCTGTTCACATTGAAAGGTGGGCACTGTCTCTTTAAGAGCCATCCCACTCCTCTCCTTGAGTGATGAAGACTGGGAGCACGAGGGAGTTAGATGCTGATTAAACAGTCCTACTGCCGAGCTCTGTTAGAAAATTACTGTAATTATGATCCAGTCCCAGCAGAGGGATGCGTTCCAGTCCTACTAATAACCCTTCCAGGTGCCTCGGATGCTGGGCCCCTGGGATGCAGCATCCACAGGGCTGTGGCTGGCACCAGAGCCCGTGTGGCCCTCCCGTCTGGCTTGTGCGGGCAAAGACGACAAAGGCCCTGGACCACCTCATCCTCTCGTGTCCTGAGACGCCAGGAAGGTTCGGTGTTGCTTTTTTATTTATTTCTTTTTTGCCTCTGGTTCTTAACGGAACTTCTGGGAGTCATTTTGTATTAAAAAAAAAAAAAGTTCCCTCCCCCAACCCCCTGAAATTCACACGAAGGACCAGGAAAATCACAGCTGTGAGATGGCCACGTGTCGTGGGTGTCCCCTCGGCTGCCCGGAAGCCCCCGGGCATCACACCCACAGCGCGCAGGCAGGCGCGTGGGGAGCCGGTGTACCGTGTCAGCTGCCGCTGCCTCCTGCTCCTTGGCAGCGCCCTGTCTGCAGCCAAGCGGCAGAGACCATTGCACGCGGGCCGCAGCAGGAGTTTCAGCGCTCCCGTTTCAGATCCCTGCTAGGGAAAGGGGAAGCGAGGAGACACGGCCACGGCTGAGACTCGCTGCCATGCAACTCCCCGAACTGGCACATACGGTCTCACTCGTTGAAGCACGCCATCTTTCTGAGTGGAAATCTGGAGCCACACGGGCAGGCCTGTCTCAGGGCAACTCGCTGGCTTCAAACCCTGCGAGGTGTGTGCGACCCACCTGGCTGTTCTCCCAGCCACTGCAGCGCCCTGGCTAAGGCACAGGTGCAGTTTCTCCGCTTAGCCCTATACCCACACCATAAATGCCCTGAAATATGCTGGGTCTCAACCAGGGCCGGTGGCAAGCAGCGTCGACACCCAGCATGGCTTGGAAACATTCTTGGCTGTCAAGAATTTGGGGATTGAGGTGGGGGATTTAAAAGGGGGGAGCACTTCGTTGGGGGCGCTCATGCCATAATGTATCCCTGGCCCAGATGTCAGAAATACAGAGGTGGAAAGCCCCTCAATAGACGAGTGGCGTGTCAGTCAGGTGCGCTTTCTGCTGCTCTAAAAGAGACGGCAGGTTGCGGGTGTTTTTTCAGAGGTGCTGGGCCCCGCAGGGGACCTGCCCACAGAGGTGTGTGGAAGTGGATGGAGCCCGTTTGCTGTGCCATGAGGGTGTGCAGGGGCGGCCAGCTGCTCGCCAGCAGGCGAGAGCCTCGGCAGTGGACAGACGTCCTCTCCGAGGAGCAGCACTCGAAGCCTCTTGGCCTGCACTGCCATCCTGGGAGGCAAGGATGTGGCGTACTGCCGAGTGCCCGGGCCACGGCAGTGCTTCCTTCGGTGGCGCTCTGCCAAGGGAGGGCTGGTGGACTGTGTGCAGGGACCCTGGGAGGGAACTGAACACACAGCTGTTGCCAGCCAGCCAGCCAGC